AAGGGCAGTTTGCGGACCAGCAGCTCCGTGGACTTCTGGTAGCGGCGGATCTCGCGCAGCGCCACCGTGCCGGGCCGGTAGCGGTGCGGCTTCTTGACGCCGCCGGTGGCCGGCGCGCTCTTGCGGGCCGCCTTGGTGGCCAGCTGCTTGCGCGGGGCCTTCCCGCCCGTGGACTTGCGCGCCGTCTGCTTCGTGCGAGCCATCGCGACCTCCCGAGAGCACAGGCCGATGCGGGCGGGAGGGCGCCCCGCCACCCGTATATATCACGCGAGCCCCGCTCTGATTGGACCCGGCGTCCGTCCCGCACGGCTCGCGGGGCACCGATTGGGAGCGGCGGCCGCTTTCCGGTCGCGTGACCTCCGGGCCTTCAGCCCGAAATCGGCTTCTTCCTCCCACCCGCCCCCTCAACCGCTGCTGATTCAACCCTCTCTGGCCTCTACCGATTTCAAGAGGTGATTGGACAACTGAATAGCTTCATTCAAGTTTGTGAAGGCTAATTTCAAGCCAATTGCTTCATTTCTGTATTTAAAGTTTTTACACAATTTTTCGAAACGCACCAAGACCATTAACACCAATTTCATTTGCTATTATAACTACATGAACACGTAGTTTTCACTCACGACAGCGTCCTCATGACAAAGCCCTCCCACTGGGTTTCACAATTTTACTGGGTTTCTGTGAAATGGGGTGTCAAAAATCCCGACTTGTAAATGGTACAAGATCACTGTGCCTCTTCACAGTCCTGCTGAAGCTAAGCTCAGCCTGAAGGACACGACTGGGGACAAGCAGTGATGCGGTCCTGCTTACCAGGGGTGAGGGCCCCGCAGAGTGGGAGACGGGCGGATTACAGGTGATGTGGCCATTAAGATGCAAAGCAAATCCTCTCAAAACCGCACCGCCCCAGGGTGCTCTCATTGCTGTGGGGCACTAAGTCCATTTGCATCTAAATGTTTACCTTTGACCAAGCTTTGTTCTCCACTTCATCTTTTCCTCACATTAACCCTGAGGCCAGCTGCACTGATTTCCCTAATTACCTGTGAAACAAAGTATCTCTATCCGTTTCACTTGGAGTTTTATTGTAACTTTTAAATGGAGGGTCAGTTTCGCGTTATGGAGTGTTGAAGTGCTGACACCTACCGGCCAAATGGCGTAAAGGTCGTTTGCAACCAGAGGCTTAATTAGGACACGCAGCCCTTTTAGTGAAAACGTGGGTGGCTCTGAAAAGAGCCTTTGGTTTGGACTCGGCCTGCTCGAGCGGCTGCAAACAAAAGCAGGCGCCTACTTGCCCTTGGCCTTGTGGTGGCTCTCGGTCTTCTTGGGCAGCAGCACGGCCTGGATGTTGGGCAGCACGCCGCCCTGCGCGATCGTGACCTTGCCCAGCAGCTTGTTGAGCTCCTCGTCGTTGCGGATGGCCAGCTGCAGGTGGCGCGCTTGGTGTCGCGCGCCGCGTTGCCCGCCAGCTCCAGGATCTCGGCCGTCAGGTACTCCAGCACGGCCGCCAGGTACACGGGCGCGCCGGCGCCCACCCGCTCGGCGTAGTTGCCCTTGCGCAGCAGGCGGTGCACGCGGCCCACGGGGAACTGCAGCCCGGCCCGCGACGAGCGCGTCTTGGCCTTGGCGCGAGCCTTGCCGCCCTGCTTTCCGCGTCCGGACATTTTAGCACTAGAAACTATAGTGCGAATAAGACCAATGCAGGGTCAGAGCTTTTTATAAACACTTTTAGGCGCGAAAAGTTAGATGTGTCATTACTCAAGATAACAGATTCAACCTAACCAATGAAAATGGAAATTTGGGATTCCTGCGTTCTGATTGGGCAGAGCTAATTTTTTTTTGCAGTTACTTTGAAAAGCCACCAATCAGACACAAGTTTGTACTTTATCACCTTATTTGCATGCGGAGTCTTATTTAAAATGAACGCGCCGTCCTGTGCTCTCATCATTTCTCTGCATTTTTTCTTTCCTATTTTTCTGTCCTCCCGACCATGCCCGAGCCCGCCAAGTCGGCGCCCGCCCCGAAGAAGGGCTCCAAGAAGGCGGTGACCAAGGCGCAGAAGAAGGACGGCAAGAAGCGCAAGCGCAGCCGCAAGGAGAGCTACTCGGTGTACGTGTACAAGGTGCTGAAGCAGGTGCACCCCGACACCGGCATCTCGTCCAAGGCCATGGGCATCATGAACTCGTTCGTCAACGACATCTTCGAGCGCATCGCGGGCGAGGCGTCGCGCCTGGCGCATTACAACAAGCGCTCGACCATCACGTCGCGGGAGATCCAGACGGCCGTGCGCCTGCTGCTGCCCGGGGAGCTGGCCAAGCACGCCGTGTCCGAGGGCACCAAGGCCGTCACCAAGTACACCAGCTCCAAGTGAGTCCCTCTGCAGCCACGCTTTAACCCAAAGGCTCTTTTCAGAGCCACCCAC